GGGGTGAGTCTGCTTTGCATCGGGTCAGTGTCTGCTCAGCTTCCCCCGGAAGCAGACCCTAACACAAAGACCCGGGGCCTGTAATTCATCTGGAGGTGAACTCAGGGACCCCAGGGAGGGGAGTGGGGTCATGAGGCAGGGAAGGGAAGGCAGGCAACAAATGACTTGTTTTGAGGCAGGGTGCGACCGTGAGTGACGAGCTGGCCCACTGGGGAGCGAGCTCCGAGTCCCAACAGGCAAGGGAGCTGGGGTGCTTATCCACCAGCTCCCCAGTCACTGGTCGGGCAGCTCCCTGAAGGTGGTGATTCCTCCTGCCCCAGGGCAGTCAGCGCAGGCTCTGGTAACCAGAGGAAGCCTTAGGAGAACCAAGATTGCTGTTTACAGGCCATTAATTGCTTCACTGAGGGAGTCTGAGCATTTTCAGAGACACCCGGAGGGGCTGTGGAATCCCCCCTCTGCGCTACCTGACTGGTGATCTCGGGATCTGCCACTGGGGAAAATGCCAACAAAATAGAACCCTGTTTCCCGGCAGACCTACCATCATCACGAGAGAGCTCGTAACAGTTAAAGGTCATAACACCCTGGTTGGCCTCTCTTCTGGGCGTTCAGGCAGTCGGCGGCAGTAGTGTTGCGGTGCTGAAGAGGAGCCGCAGGATCCACACGTAGATGTGTGTGTGTGCACGTGTACGCGGAGCCCGTGGGTGCTGTGTGTAGTCAGGCGTTGAGGAATGTCAGCGTAATCCAGTTCAGCAGGTGGAAGATGCGATAGCGGGGGTCTTGAGTGCGGCAGGCGCTGGGTTGGATGCTTCACGTATGTTGTCTTCTAATAATCGTCGGCAGCCCAGGAGCGTCACCCTGTCCCCACTGACAGGTCAGGACACAGGCTCAGAGATGCTCTCTGACCAGGGTCACCTGCTGGTAACGGCAGTGACTGGGGCTCAGCCCCGGCTGTGCCTGAATCCCAAGTTCTTGTTCTTGGTCCTGCCCCTCAGCGGCCTCATTTTGGGTTGGGAGAGAGCTGTTAAGAATTCCTCTTCTGAGCAGGTACGTGTGACACACGTAATGAGCCTCTCTCAGGTCATCCTCAGAGCATCCCAGGGAAGTATTAGCTGTGCCCTTTTTGCCAACCAGGGACTGAAGCTCAGAGCTCACACGGCTGCCAAGTGGCTGAGCGTACTTTCCACCAGGCCCTCCGACTTCACAATCTCTGCTCTTTCCTCTGCACTAGCTGACATGGGGACACAGCGGGCCAGAGAGATGCCCGAGGGCCAGACCCTGCCATCAGGGAGGAGGGCTCAGCCCCACACATGATCGGCCAGAACACAGATCCGATCACAGAGTGACCAGACGGGCTGTCACAGCAGCTCTGGGAAGGAGGCGGTCACGTCTGGGCAGGGTGACCAGAAAGTGCTGTAGGAAGTTGAGGTCTTTGTGGGGCCCCTGGCTCTAAGGTGGTGACAGCCCCTTTCTGGCTCTCTCCCCCTCCTGCCCGCAGACGTGGTCCCTGTTCTGCAGAGCCCTGATGGGAACTGGATGGCCCTGAAGGATGGGGCTCTGCCCCCGACCCGCCTGCTGGCCAAACCCAAGAGCGGCACCTTCCAGGCCCTGGAGGCGGCCTCCAGTGTGGCATCGGCCTACGACGAGATGGGCTCCGACAGCGAGGAGGACTTTGACTGGCGGGAGGCCTTGAGCTCACTGTGCCCTCAGCCCCAGGGCCTGCCCCGGAACCCCCGGCTGCAGCCCACGCAGGCCCAGGGCTCAGACCAAGGCCCCTCCGCCACCTCGGCCTCCCCCGGGCTCTCCCCCAACCCCGAGGCCATGTGCTCTGACTCGGAGACCTCCTCAGCCGGCTCTTCCCGGGAAGCTGGGCGCCGGGCCAGGCTGTCCTGGTTGCAGAGGAAGGCCCCCAGGAGCGCCGCAGCCGAAATGCACCTCCAGGGAGAGCTGGACGTGAACTTCAACCCCCAGGCAGCCAGTAGGGAGACCTCAGACAGCAGCGAGCCTGACGAGGCGCCCCATGCTGCAGGTCGTCGGGCCCGGAGGTGGAGGAGGGCCCGGGTGGGCTCGGAGGAGCCAGGCAAGGAATCACCTTCCCCCGACGCCCAGCCGCTGGATCCGGACACCCACCAGGTAATAAAGCAGTGCCTTCTGTTAGACGCTGTGAGTCCCATGGAAGACCCAGCTGTGTTGCCTCTGCCCTGTGTAGGCACGTCATTGCCACTCCCATTACTATCAACTTGACTTTCTCTGCTCTTGGAGAAACCACACCCACTTTCAGAAGTCACTGCCTTTCCCATGGTACCCAGCTCCCGGACCCTGAAGGCTTAGGTTGAGTTCCACCAAAAGCAGGTCCTGAGTCCAGGATTTGGATGCAGGTTTACGTGGGAGGAGAGCCCAGGAAACCCAAGAGTGATGCGGAGAGATGAGAAAGGCCAGTTCAGATACACGATAGGCAACCAGGCTCCATCCCACCAGGGACCCTCTGAGAGGCCATGTGGATCCCAGCTCAGAATTCTCCCGCTAGAGGACAGGGAGCAGTTATCCACCATCTCCCATCTCCCACTGGCAGAGAGTGGTCCCACCCAGGGTGGGCATAGGCTCGGTGCACAGCCAGGTTTGCATGCACGGTACCTGAGAAATCCCTAAGATGAAGAAGAAAAGAGAGGCAGTCTTAGGTGGGAAGTTACCAGTGAGCTAGAAGCTGTCCCTGAGGGCTGTGGGCAAATCATATAGGTCCAGGGGATACAGCCTGGGACATCTCCAGGATCTGCCACCGTGAGTGTCTATGAATGAGTTAGCCAGATCCCTGATCCTGGGGTTCCCACCAAGACAGCTGTGAACTCAGAGGTCCTCGGGTCCCAGAAGGTCACAGAATTTAGCATCAGTGCTGCCTGACCAGCTATGTTGCCTAGAATTTTGGCCCAAGCTCTCATTTTTCTCCTGTGTAAAACAAGATCATTACAAACCTGCCATGTGGGGCTGCTGTGATCTTAAAGCAGAAATACAAAATCCTGTTCCACTGTGAATCATTATCCTCCAGCTCAAGTGGAGACTGTTATCCAGGGACTCTGAGTGAACTGCCTCAAGGGATATTCTTGAGGATTGTCTGCATGATTCGCTGGCAGGCATAAAATGCCACATGTCCACCATAACTCGGTGCCTGAAGCCTCCTATCTATTGCAAAGTGGCTTGAAAGTGAATCTTTGCAAGGCATCAACAGGGAGAAGGCAACAAGGGCAGGCAGCGGGGAGGCAGAGGGGAGGCAGGACCCGCGCTCCATCGGCCTCCCTGGCAGTGTCCTCTTCTGCCCACTAGGTGGCGGCAGCCTTCCATGTCTGGGGACTTAAACCATGGTCCTCGTCCCCTCTCCTGTTTAGTTTAGTAGCGCAGTTCTCTTCTCAAAATACGTGTATTTTAAAACTGTTGGCATACTTTTAAGTTATATAAATAAACGACTAGAAAAATTATTAAAGCATACAGATATAGTTTCCCTTGACCACAGCCCTAAATCCCTGCCATCTCCCCCCGAATGACTACAGTGGTACTTGTGCATCACGTACACATAGCACATAAGAGACAGAGTTCTGTAGACGTATCTGTGTTTAAGCAGAATCAACACCCACTCTCCGTATGCTCCCACCTATTCCTCCTAACAGTGAGTGACAGAGACTTCAGGGCACGCAGCCTCTGGGGCACCGCGGTGGTCCCCGGGGGCAGTGAGGGGGCGGGAGCTATCCATCCAGGGTGCATGCAGCTTTCCTGCACTCATTTACTTGGAGTAAAGTTGTATAGATGTTTTTCAAAGCTCTTATACTTTTCTTTTGAAGTAATTTTCAAGTAGGTTATACATTTTGTTGGTCTTGTGAAATGAGATCTTTTTTTTATTTATTCCATGTTCTAACTGGATTTGGCTGGTGTATGGAACATTACTGACTTTGTGTTTTGTAAGTCAGCACCCTAGGAGACTCTATTAATTCTAGTAGCCCTTCGGCCAATACGCGTAGCTGTTCCAGGCAGACAGTCACACGCCTACAGGTAATGACCTTTCCATCTTTCATTTCCGCTGTTTATACTCGCCTCTCTCACGCGGGCGTCGTGTGCGTCACACTGAGAGATGGCTGTGACATCTGGCATCCTGTCTCTGTCTCGCTGCTGAATCCAGAATCATCTTCTCATTTGTTGCAGAAATCTTAACTGGATTGTAATTCCTTTCTCTAAGAACTGGTTCCTGTTGCAGGTCTCCTTCTTTATGCTGTCTTGTTCAGTTTGGGCATCAGGTTATACCAGTGACTTGGCAGGGAGTCTCTATTTTCTTACTTTCTCAAGAACTGTCTTACTACTGCCTATAATTATGGCCTTGTTTTGTTTTGTTCTGTGGTGCGCATTTATCTTACATCCCAGACCAGGGCTGGGGACCCTGAGAACAGGGTTAACGGTTACTGTGACCACTCAGAAGAGGGAAGAGTCGACGGGTCTCCAAATGCATTTTTTTCAGTCCACTTCCACGGGCCTTGCAGTTTGTGAAAAATGCTCCCGTCAATTTACTGGCAAGAAGCTGACTTCTGTCAGTGCTTTTGAGTTACGTAGGTTTTCACCATTTGCTGTATCTTCCCACACAGTTTTGGTGGGAACTTTGAGAGGTTGCAGAGAGATGTTTGCCAGATACCATTTTAAAATGGAAACCTGCTAATTAATCTTCGGGTGATGGAGACGTCAGGATTGCAGGAGGCTGCTACTTTAGGTTCCTCTGACATCTCATCTTATTGTTGAGCTCATTAGTGAACCCTGCCCTCTGTCTAGCCTGCTGGGTCCTAATTATTCTTAAAAGTTCAGAGTCTTGCCACATTGAGAAGCTACCAATTCTTTATAGCTAATAACCTGTTAATATTCCTTTATTTGATGCCTTGTTACAGGAAAAACACTGGAAGTGGTTTACATAAACATAAACACAAGAAAATAAAATTAAAATATAATGATGAGAAAAGTAGGACAAAGGAAAACCCAGAGTAGGAAAAAATAAAATGAAGCCAGAAGTCATGTTAGTTCACAAAATAGATGCAGGGGGGGTCCTACTTCTGAGCTGGAGTTATCAAAAACTTGGCTCTGAGCTCTTTAGATAACAACAGAAAGAGAATGTTATGAGCAGCTTCCTGAGCCCTGGAGGCCATGTTAGGGTAATAAACACATTCCTTAAAAGATGCTGCAGGCTCACCCCCTGGGTCCTTGTGGAGAGAACACAGAATACAGCCCCATCCACAAGAAACTGCTGCAAACACACGCGTTGTCTGGGGGCTGCCCCTCACATGTCACTCAGTGTGGAGAGCACATGACTGGAGGGACAGGTCAGTCAGGTCCTGTCTGCAAAGGGCCGGAAGACGCTGACCTCAGCTGGCCTGGGTTGCCCCAGGATTAAGTTTTGGGGTCTGCAGAGGAGTGGATGGCTGCCTCCCCAAGCCCTGGCTCACACGAGCTGCGCAGCTCTGAACTCAGAAGGATGCAGTCTGACAAGTGCTTGCAGGACCACGCATGTTGGGGGCCCTATGACAACACCCTTAACCCCATGCACGTTGAGGCCCCCAACAGGCACACCTGCCTCTGAGGGGTGCCCAGAGAACACCCCCTAGCAAGCCCTTAAACCTGCTCGAATTGTGTTTGAATTTCCTCCAGGACAGAGGCCAAACGGTGACAGCCCCCACCCCTCAACCCATGGGTCTTCCCCGTTACCTCCATACCTTTTTAGGCATGGAACCTGTCCTTGCTTCAGTGAAAACTTAAAGAGAGCTGCTCTGAGACAAGGTGCCTCTCCCCGTGCCTCTGACCCCCGCCTCCGCAGCCGCCTGGGCAAGGACAGGCCAGAACCCGGCAACAGTTCAGAGCGAGCGTGACCGGACTCCTCCTCGGCAGGTGATT